TTATTATTATTATTTACACAAAAAATATTTTATGTTTAAAAGAGTGCTGGTGGCTGTTTCTTCTTCCAACTGGAGGTCAAACAGCTCCCACATTGTCATCTACTGTATAGTAATAACGCATCCTGGTCAACTGTAATGCTAGCCCTATTAGCATTTTGTCATCCTCTAACTGACCGATAGCAGGGCATGTGTACATCCGCGAAGCAACACCGGAGGAGCTCCGGTGACATCCTTCCAGGCCTTTCCTTGGCGTTACAGCTACATAAACGCGGGGTTAGTGATGAATACGTTTACCCTGAGTTCGTCTCTCTCAGCCTCCCAGCGGTATTTCTCGGCCTGGAAGCGTCCCCACTCGTACTGGATGAAGTGCAGGATCCCAGGAAGCGTCATCCCCGACTCCCCGTCCTGCGGCTCCCGTGACTGCTGCAACGGTCCGGGGACGGCCCCGGCGGCTGCTGCTGCGGCCGCTGCCATTGCCCCGGTCCCACCAGCTGATGTCGCCTGGCCCGGTCCTGCTTTAGGCCCGTTTGGGTTGCGCCCCGTTCCACTGCTGCCGCCGCCGCCTCCGGAGTTCGGGTTAGATCCTCCGCCGGTTCTGTCCGCCTCCATTTTAACTGTTCAACCTTTCGCCAGGATAATGAGATGGGAACGGGCAGAATGGACGAATATAAATATAAAAAAAAGTACCCCGTGCCCTTTTCCAAACCCAGCTCCACTTCACTATAAGCTACCCTCCTTTCTTCCTTTCTCACACGCACAGAGAAAAATTACTATTCTGTTGGTAAAATAATACACTTCCGCTTCCAAGCCTTCAGCGCAAAACACAATCTAACCGCAGTGTAACATCGTGGCCCCATTGATTTCGTAACAAATCCCTTTTCACAAAACGGCTTACGTGCAGTCTTAAAACTAACATCAAAATAAAGTAACACCAGGCAGCGTTTATTAAATGTAATGCACCTGAAAATAAACGTTAACCTTTTTTTTTTTTTTGCTGCTCTTATTTTGTATATCCCGGATCCCAGATCAGTTTCCTCCTCGTGAAATGCCCAGTGCGGGTGACAAATAAAGGGCCATGTTTTCTATAATAGACAATAAACATGTCGCTAGGGGAATGAATTTCCTGCCATTTTGTGAGCAGGAATGGTTTCGGGAACGAAAAAGTTAGCTGCAGTGATCAACAATACTATTTCCGGTCGAGATTTTATCTTTGATTTTTATTTTTTATTTTTGGAAAATAAATTGTGAAACGAAGACAGCCATAGCCAAGAACAGCAATACAAAAGCCTTTGGGACACATTTGTAATATATAACATGTTAACGTGAATTATAGTTTTTCCCCATATCATCTTAATATTTATATTTATATTTTTTTGTATTGCTTATATCCTTATAACCTCTGCAATAACATTTGCAGTTATATCTCATATTTTATATTATAGCAATATGCTTTTCTATTATTTTAAAACGTAAGAGATTAGGTATAGACGCCAGGTAACTGGGATAACTCTGAAGCGGTTATTGCGTAAAATATGTGCCTTTCATTAAATAGATTCAGATTTGGACACCCCCTACAATAGCTTTATTCTGAAGGATTTCAACCGGAAGTTGTCCTGTTGCTGCGGGCAACAATGTGATAGCTTAATGCTAAAGTCGTGCAGCTGGGTTTCTTGTTTGGGATTGTGTTAAGCCTTGCGCTTTTGATATATTCTTTTGATCATTAGGTGTGAGTTTCTTCCAAAAAATATTGGCGACTATTTCTTCCACAGTCGTACAAATATGAGCTAAACTCAAGTTAATATCTGTGTTTGCTGCTGCCGATTCAACATCGGTAGCTACTACGCTACCAGCTCAAAAAGATCATCATGAAATCCACATATAGCGAGCATAACGGGCATAATTGGCTTAACGTTGGTAAAGCCTCTTTTAACTTCTGAATGATATTATGGCCCTACAAACGATTGTCTTATATGAAATAAAACCGATACATTCAGATGAAGGTGAGTTGCTACTATCCTATTTTCATTAATTTCTAATGCAACTAGAACCTGTCATGGAACAATCATGTCCTAGTTCCACAAGAATGTGATTATGGCTTGGGTCATTCACTGACTACTTTGTTTAAATTAAATATCCTGTGTGCAAATTGTGATGTTCATATGCAGATCAATACATTATACTTATATGTAAGCTTGTGGTATTGGAACCAAAACACAACATTTTTCTGTCATTTACAGGTTGTATGCGACTCTCTGTTACACTGATGGGGGTCCGAGACCAGCCACTGGATTTCTTGATTCAAACTTAAGTTATTCTCCTGAAATAAACTGCAAAGGAAATATTAGTTGCCATGCGGATCAGTTTCTGTCAGGGCTTGTTAACTATTGCCATCATCCTCAACCTCCTCATTCTCTATTATGTGTCCCGAGCCCAGCAGCAAATGATGGAGAAGAGGAAAGAACTTGGCAGGGGCACAAGAAGGGCTGCCCTACCAGCCTCTGGTCTCGGAGGGTTACTTGCAGGAGCTGGAGGTGAGCCTGGAGTGGTTGGAGTGGAGGGACACAGTCGAGGCCCACGTGTAACTGTTCTACTTCGGGAATTTGAACATTTTGAAAACTATGTTGGGGATGTGGCTAATTCCTTCCTTCACCAGAGGCCAGAGCTTCCATTCCTGGCTGTAGCTGACACATCACCGTACCCTCCACTGGTGCTTCCGGAGGGTGCTCGGCTTCTTATCCTCTCCCCCAGCCCAGACCAACCACCACAAGCTCACAGGCCTGAGTTTCATGTGCAAACAGAGTTTGTGCTGCTAGTGCCTGATGGAGTGGAGCTGGAGCAACCAAGGGCTATTGAGAGGTTAATTAGAGAGTTGGAAGGAGAGGGTGGAGGGCCTGTGAGGTTAGTAGCTGCACCCGTATTGGCTCGATCTGCTGTGCAGTGTCTCCACTTGCGGGTGAACCTCAGAGAGTGGACAGCTATCTATTCAACAGCTGCATCAGGGAGCAGTGGGAGTGTATGTACAGCTTTACAGGGAGATGCAGTCGTACTCATTCGGACTGAGGATCTTTTTAACCTCTCTGTCCCTCTTGGACGGCCTCTCTTCTCTTCACTCTTCATCCAGACTTCTTTGAGAGGCTGGAAGGTCAAACTCCTGGAAGGCCCCTGTTTCTCTGCAAACCATCGGCCTCTCTTCAGCTCTGCTCACAACCAGTGGAAGGCTGACACTCGACTAAAGGAGGCCACGGGGAAGCTAATGAGGAGCTTCGGTCTGAAGCGTCTTCTGCTGCCTGATGGGAAGGAACAGTGGTACGGCTGCAGCAAAGAGACACCACGCTGCTTTGGCACTGTGCAGGATGACACTCCAGACTATCTTTATCTGGACCGCTGGACACCTCCCTGCTGTCTGCGAGCACTCAGGGAAACCACCAAGTATGTCGTCAATATCTTGGAGCGCTCAGGTGTGCGCTACTGGCTAGAGGGAGGTACTCTGTTGGGCGCCGTACGCCATCAAGATATCATCCCATGGGACTATGATGTAGACCTTGGTATCTATCTGGAGGATGTACCCAACTGCGATCATTTAAAGAACCTGGACTCGGGCTCTCTGGTGGATGCTAATGGCTATGTGTGGGAGCGTGCGGTGGAAGGAGACTTTTACAGGGTCCAGTACAGTGAGGCTAACCACCTGCACGTTGACCTGTGGCCGTTCTATCCACGTAATGGCGTCATGACCAAAGATACGTGGACTGAACATAAACAAGATGTCGAGTTCCCAGAACACTTCCTGCAGCCACTGGTACCCATGCCTTTTGCTGGCATCACTGCCTATGGCCCTAACAACCACAGAGCCTTTTTGGAACTTAAATTTGGAGAGGGGGCGATTGAGAACCCCCAGTATCCCAACCCTGCAAAAAAGAGACTGGACAGAAGTAAATTATGAGTCATACCGGAGGGCTACAGACCCATTTAGGTTTACATACATACAAAGAAAATCTTGCCTCAAATAATTGTCTGTGAAAGATAATGGAAAGTAAAGCCTTTTACACACGTGCACTGCAGCCCTGAATGCTTTGAGACATTACCAAACTGAGATTCACGTGAGAGCACAAATGTCCGACATTCTTATCTGACCGTAAATGGTCGAGTACCTCTTGTCTGTGTGACATCCACATCTAATCATCTCAACATTTTCTGGAAGTCATGTGTGAAAAAAAGATTTAATATGGTGCCAAAACGACTGCATTTACTGTTACCTTCACCACATGTGTATCAGAAGACTGTGTATTGCATGCTTAGATTGTTCTTCCTGTGGTTCGGATGTAAAGTCTAATGTTGAACACGCGTTATTTATTTGCCTGAGCGGTAGCGTTTTGTTTGAAAGGCACACTTGAAAAGTTTAAATCCATACACTAGTGTACTGACATAAGGCTGTGGTGTGTATGTGTTGTACAGAAACATTGAACTACTACTGCTGTAATTAAAAAAAAAAAAAAAGGTAGATAATTGGAAAAAAAACACGATTTTTTAAAAAACTAAAATGTATTTTATCTTAAGCAGGATTTAAGGTATTATACAGACGTATGTGTGTTAAATAAGTGGCTTTAGCCTAACAGGTATTTTATGATTTTTGAACTCTGTTGCCTTGTTTTGCACGTCTCAGTTTATGAGTGAATGTTAGTTTGTGGTAGAGCCAGCTGGTAACTGCAGCTGAGCAGACTTCCATCTAATGAAATGAGAAGCACACCTGTGTTATTCATGCTGTTATGGACGATTGCTCTACCATGCCTTAGAATTCAAGTAAATAATTACATATTTATAAATATTATGAAAAGGAAATTAATTCAATATTCTACTCAGTTCCCCTGGTTGCCACATGATTCCTGTAGTTTTTCCTGTATCTAATGTACTAGGGTGTCAAATGATTTCATGTACTTCTACAATAAAAGAATAACAGTTTCATGTATTTTGTAAATAGCTGTTACCACTAGATGGCGCAACACAACTAATTAACGCCAAGTGCTGTTGTTGTGACGACCAAAGGGGTGGAGTGTAGGCAGGAATACAACTCTACAGGAACACGGCTCACGTGTTCATCACAAACCCAACGTGTCATGCAAACTAGCATTACAATCAAGCCTCTCCCATGTTGTTGCTCTACATATTGTGTCCCTAGAGGTGTGTTTATATTGTTTTTTTGCTTCTAGTATTCATATATGGCCTGGTTAATGTGCCCAGGCTTATGTATCAGTGGGAGGCTGCATTACTTTACAGTCTCTAAACATAAAGAAAGTATTTTGTGTCTTTTCTGATTTGTATTACTGTGTGCTTCTGATTAGTCTCTGCAGTAAGAGTTAAAAACAGGGTTTGTCCACAAAAAGCCACATCCTCTTATTTATATGTATGAAAAAAAACATTTATTGCCGAAAGGTTGCTGACAGTACATTCAGACAATAAGTTATTTTACAACCATAGTCCACTTTAAACAAGCAAAACCATGATCAAGCCACATAATGGAAGAGTTCAGGAAGTAATCTTGCACCACAAAAGGAACAGAAAAAAAAATAAAGAATTTTCTTTTGACATAAGAAATGCTAAGACCTCAAGGTTGCAGTTAAATGATTGTCATGTGAAATTCTGTAAAGCTAATGTAATGAGAAGGCTAAGAAAGCAGGCTTAAAAAATATCTGGTTTTGGATTTAACAGTATTTGCCCAACTCATGTCTATATAAGATGGTAATTAACAATTGATATGGATGCAAAAGATATACTATTGTGCTATATTACTTTCATCCATTTAAAAAGTGT